ATCTTATTTGTTTTTGCGTTAGAACTGATTTGTGATGTTCATGTCATATTCTTATATTTAGGCTGAAAGAAGAATACAGAGGTCAAATAAAAGAACATTACATGAACATCACAAATCAGTTTCTAACGCAAAAACAAATAAGATTCAACAAACCAGTTTCTAACTCAAAAACAAAGCCAACAAAAGCGAGAATCCGAATCAAAACTGATTTGAGAGTTGATGATTTTTTATATTTTTCTTCTTCAAGTATTAAATGTGAAGTTAAGGAAAGAAAAAGTGAAGTTAAGGAAAATAAATAAAAAAGTAAGTATGACATGTATGTGTCTTTGGTATATTAACTATACAAGCCCATTCAATTCAATATCTGACAAGGATCAGTAAAAATCAAATCCAATCAATCTGAAAGTTAGTCAACATTTGGTTATGTAGAGTTTATTTTATCAATGTTTTAATTATCTTAGATTAAAGTTTACCAAATCGTATAATACTGTAACAAATACAAAACTCGAGACAGACAAATTAGGTAAGATCTAATGTAAATCAACGGGTTCCCTAAATCAACATTATTATTTTTCACAATAAACAAAAATAAATACTAATATGAAAAGAAGAAAAAAATAGAACAGACTAAATTGATTATATATTATCTAAGAAATATTTAAATCAATTCAAAATATACTACTATAACTCGAGACCACCAAGCCAATGCTATCACGACAACATCAATTGTTGGGAATCTTGTTTTCTGATCGTTGGAGTTTTCAATAATCTGTCAGAAACTCGCCAAACTCCAAATCTAGTCATGCGAGACACGACACACTTTACAGTTTAACCCCACCGACAATTTGTAATTACTCAAAACTAGATTCAACTAATTAAATTGAAATAAAAACTTTGTAGAATCCGTGTTTTTATTTCATTCACTCAAAAAAAAAAAGATGCATAAACATGATGCATTTGTGCTAGCAAACAAATAACGCCACTAATTAAGATGTTACTCTTATTGGCGTTGGGATACTCATTTGCCATCAAAAACCGACGTATCAAGAACCCAAACGGCAGGCCAATACACAGAGCCTAACCATAACTTTCCATCTTCTCTTTCATAAGCTTCACTAACATATTTCATTGTTGTCCCTTCGCTATCCTCAAGTGTCTCAAGAATCTCTCCTGTCTCTCCAGAGAGTTTCAAGATGATTCCATGAGGTTTCCCTCCGTTCATAAGATGAATCACAGTCTCCATCTTCAACGTCTTCATGAAAGACTTTCCGATCCAAGAGTGACTAAGAAATAAACGAGTAAACAAATTGTCTTTGCAGTGCAAGGCGACCCAGAAATCACCCGTAGGTGTACGCCGGATATTGTCCGGTAGACCCGGGACCCTTGCGAAGATTTCGCTGGTCCCGGTTTTAGGTCCTTTTACCCATATTCTATGGAGAATCCCTGTACCACCTTCGCAGGTGATTACAAACGATCCGTTTTTGCTTAGAGATAAACCATTTGGTAAATGGAGTTTGTCCATTATAACTTTACCCTCTTTCTTCGTCATATCGTATCTAATCACTCTTCCCACTCTGTCCCCGGATATAGACACGTAGAATACTTCCCTATCCAACAAAAACAAACATAATACATTTTCACAAGTCAATTCTATACGTGGAACTGAAACAATAGTCTTTTTAATAAAATTTAGGGAAAAAGTGTAGAGATTTAATTAATATACCCGAAATGGTATTTATCGCTACTATCATTGAAGTAAAAGACATCTTCCTCTTCGTCAATATCCATTTGGTTAGCAAACATAACTTTGCGACCTTCGACTTCATCAACGACTAACTCGGCCAAGCCTCCCTCTGGTCCGACCTTCATGATCCCAAAGTAACCATCACATATGTACAAATCTCCTGTTTTCCTATCGAAGCTAAGTCCCAACGGTCTCCCACAACTAGGAACAACCTCATGCCTCGAACAGTTATCTCTTCATTCAACAACAAAAAATAAAATAAAATAATTGAGAACATTGAGCAAAACCCTAAAAATCTAATCATAAGAATCACATCACACATCTGATCTAACTTTTTCTAAAGATCAACTAAAAAAAAGTTTGAATAATTTGATCATAACAAAACAGAGGAAGGGTAATTTGGTAGTTTTAGTTTAAGACTGAAACCTGTGAGGAGACATGTATGCGAAATCGACCCAACCAAGTTCTTCGCCGCGCCATTTGAGGATGCGACCGTCGGTGACGCCTACGTACGGGCCTTCACCTTGTGAATCGAATTCTAAGCTCTCTGGTCCATCGCCGGGGAGAGGAATGGTCTTAGCCACTTGTAGGACGTGTTTCGTGTCCTTTAGACGGTCCGGCGCGATGATTGATGACCAAAAGAAGAAGCAAACGACGGCTAAGACAACCGGAGCGGCGGCGACCGGCGTCAGAACTCTCCGGTTAATCGGCATGTTTTTTTAGTTTTTTTTTTCCCCTCTCTCTCTCTCTCTCGCTCGTTTATCGTTGGGAGAGAATGTGTGTGAATGATGCATGTGACTGACTTTATATACTCTATATACTCTATATAATATAGAGAGCTAAAAAGAAAAAAATAAATAAATAAACGAATAGATGGAGAACATATGTTTCTTTCTCACTTATTAAAGATTTCGGACACAACACACGCTACACACGTAAATATCTGTATTATCGGCTTGGGATAAAGTGCCACGTGTTTCACAATTTTGTCTTTGTCACCTCACAAGTTAATAGATTTTATAATAAGAAGATGTGAGTAGTCATAAACCCATTTTTTGGGGGTTTATTATAAGAAAATGAATAAAGTTTTGTTATTCAACGTCGGTTAATTTGTCAAATGACCATATTATGTCTGTCCTAGTATGTATAGAGAACAAAAGAAAAACACTAATCCTCTCAAATGATTCAACACAACTTACTGGCGTCTTCCGTTTGTGTTTAGTCCACTAACTATATCTTTTCGGCGTTTTGTTAGCGTTCTACCAAAACCATATGAGCACATAGTTTTAAATTAAAGAACATGAGAAAAATATTGTTTTCTAGTAAAAAAAAGAGAAAAATATTGTTTTCTAGTAAACAAAGAGAAAAATATTTAAAGCCAAAGAAAAAGAGAGAAAATTATTGTTTTCTTTTTCAGAAACAATATACAAACGATGATTCGCCTAGTTGGTAGAAAAGCTAATCAAATGCAAATTTGAATCCAAGTTGCTTTGACCAAAAAAATAAATAATAATAATAATCAAAGTGGCTTTTCAAGTGACTTTTTTTCCTTTCCACCACAAAAGTTGCAAAGATTTGATACAATACCGACATGTTCATTTCGATTTTGACATCTTGTGGAGCTTAATATCCAAGATATAATTTTATATATGTATCAGGTTTTAAAATTTATATACGAATTATCTTAAAATTTAAAATCCGAAGGTTTTACGATTCATTTAAATATACAAATGGATCTGAAGAAATTAAATGCATTTGTGCACATTTACACATATGTCATACAGACAAGACTAAATTTTGATTCAAAACAAGATACGTATTATTGTTAACAAAGATCGATTCATACACATGATATAATACATATACACGTAGATAAGTACGTGGACGTGGTTTACTCACTTACGATCAAGAACCCATACGGCAGGCGTAAAAACGGACCCAAACCATAACTTTCCATCATCTCTCTCATAAGCCTCACTTACATATTGCATTGTCTTCCCTTCTCTATCCTCAAGAATCTCAAGAATCTCCCCTGTCTCACCGGAGATTTTCACGGCGATCCCATGCGGCTTAAATCCGTTAACTAAACCAATCAACAAATCCAACTTGACCGTTTTTTCAACCAACTGCCCTATCCACTTATTATTTACCATCAATCTCCCTATAAGATTTTTCTTGCAATGTATGCCAAGCCAAAAATCTCCCGTCGGTGTCAAACGAATGTTGTCAGGATAACCCGGGACCTTGGCGAAGATATCGCGTGTCCCGGCTTTAGGACCTTTGATCCAATATCGATGGACAAGGCCCGTGGCAGACTCACAAGATATTAAAAAAGTCCGATCTTTGTTTATAGCCAAACCATTGTTACACCGAAGATTGTCCATGATAACTTTTGCCTCTTTTGTCTTCTTGTTGTATCTTATAACTCTTCCCGACCTCTCGCCGTTGACTGTCACGTAAAATACTTCCCTAATTGACACATATATACGAAGTTAGTTATGCGGATCATTACCTATGAAATTTCTCTAAAGACTATAGAGAATGCACATAATAGCATTTTAGTACATGTATAACTTAGACTTAGGTAAAGCCAAGTACCTGAAATGATACTTGTCGCTACTGTCATTGAAGTAGAGAACATCTTCTTCTTCATCGATATCCATTTGGTTTGCAAATATTACCTTTCGACCCTCTGCCTCGCCCACGACTAACTTGGCCAAACCTCCTTCGGGTCCAACCTTCATGACACCGAAGTATCCATCACAGATGTACAAATCTCCTGTTTTCTTCTCGAAGCTAAGTCCCAATGGTCTTCCACAAGTAGGCACTACTTCATCTCTTGAACAATTCCCTCTTCATGCAACAAGAATAATTTATTATCTATAAGTATACTGAGAAGTCACATAACAAAAACCCTAATAAATGTGAAACAACAATGTTTTTAGCATCATATTTTAAAAAGTAACCGGTTGAACATATAATCATTTGAAAGAGTTTTAAAATATTGGATTTTAAAAAAATTATACTAAGATAATATTTTCGTAAAAAGTAGTTGTATTTTTAAAAATTAAAAATTCAGGGTCTTGATCAATACTCTGGAAAAATTGACTATAGCCAATTAAATCTAGTTAATTATTAACATAGTTTATAGTTATAAAATTTTAGCTGATATACTCAACAAATCCACTTGGTTTCCAGTCCTAATTAGTCATTAAATCCAATCCTTGGATTTGTCTCCGATATATATATGGCCTAACAATAAAAAAAAGTGATAATAATAACCAAAGCATAAGTGTTTTTTGCTTTTGCATGTGTTGTTGTGGTAATTAAATATAGCCTTATATATATATATGCGTCATAGAATGAAATAAAAACCTGAGAGGAGAGGTGTAGGCGAAGTCGACCCAACCGAGACCATCACCGCGCCACTTAAGAATACGACCGTCCACGACCGCAGCATAAGGACCTTCTCCTTGTGGGTCCCATTCAATGCTCTCCGGTCCACCTACGGGGAGAGGTATGGTCTTAGCCATAGACAGTATATTTTTGGTGCCTTGTAAATGATCTGGCGCAAGCAATATCTGATATGTAATTACGGCCATTACAACCAAAACAGCCGGAACGACGACCCATGTCTGAGCTTTCTGGCTGATGATCGGCATTTAATTTTGCTCACTCTCCGGAGAAAAATCGGTGTTAGAAAAAAATGTGTCTAACAGTACTAGTTTTCAAGTTGTTGGCTGAAACCTCAAAAGTGATAATTATATAATAAATATTTCTCAAATAAAAGGAGTATATATAGAGATTTTGTTTTTGTTTAGTGGATGCAAACAATACACGTAATGCATTCGGCGTTATCGTTTGGTTTTGATTTGCCAGTTGTCTAATAAATAGCAAATGCCGTAAGTAAAATCAAAGTGTAGAACTAGTGAAAGCGACAATGTTGGGTTTTAGGATTGAAACGTTTCTTCTTTTATAGGACAAAAGTTGGTTGAAACTTGAATGATTGAAAAAAAAAAAGATAGACGAAAAAAGAAGAAGAAGAATATGTTCCGTTCACGAATCTTTTCATTTCTCATTACTTTGGTCTAATCTCGAATGTATTTATCGCTAATTTTTATTTTTAATCATAGTTTAGATGTGGCCACCAATGTTTTCTTTTTTTCATCGAAATTTTATTTGGTTGTTTTGAATTTATTGGTACCTTATTTCAGCAAAAATCGTCGTACCGGACAACAAGAAAAACTACATATACAAAAGCAAATATACATGCCAAACTCACTAGAACCTTTAAAACAATTTCGATTTGTATTTTTATTTATAGAAAAGAAAACCATATATAAAACAAATGTTGATTTAAAACACACAAGGGATCACATGGCTACGTACAACAAGCCGAATTACTACTACTCATTTGCGATCAAGAACCCATACGGCAGGCGTGAAAACGGACCCGAACCATAACTTTCCATCATCTCTCTCATAAGCCTCACTTACATACTGCATCGTCTTCCCTTCTATGTCCTCAAGTACCTCAAGGATCTCCCCTGTCTCTCCGGAGATTTTCACGGCGATCCCATGCGGCTTAAACCCGTTCATTACTGCAATCAACAAGTCCAAGTTCACTGTCTTTTCAACTATTTTCCCGAGCCACCGGTTATTAATCATAAACCGCCCTAACGGGTTTTTCTTGCAGTGTATGCCAAGCCAGAAGTCCCCCGTCGGTGTCAAGCGGATGTTGTCGGGGTAACCTGGAACCTTGGCGAAGATATCGCGAGTCCCGGCTTTGGGACCTTTGATCCAGTATCGGTGGACAAGGCCTGTGGAAGACTCGCATGAGATTAGAAAAGACCGGTCTTTGTTTAGAGCCAAACCGTTGTTACAACGGAGGTTATCCATCACAACTTTGGCCTCTTTTGTCTTCTTATTGTATCTGATCACTCTTCCCGTCCGGTCGCCGTTAGAAGCCACGTAAAATACCTCCCTGACCAACAAAAATCACATAAGGTTTAAGTTTCCTTCCTTTTTTTTGTTGTTAAAAGGCATATATAAGTCCAGATTGTTTCAAAATATTTAGGATTTTTTAAATGAAAGAAAAATATTTACTTTTTTGAAATATGTAAATGGAAACACTACGATTTTCTCTCCATTCATAATTAGAATTTACAGTTAAAAATACTGTTTAAAATGCTTTCAAGTGGGCATGTGCGGGAAACAAAAAAAAACAGTGGAAACCCTACGGGAAATGCAAAGATCGTGTAAGTAAATATATAAGTTATATACCTGAAATGATACTTGTCACTACTATCATTGAAGTACAAGACATCTTCCTCTTCGTCGATATCTATTTGGTTGGCGAACATTACTTTGCGACCTTCGGCCTGGTCCACGACCAACTCAGCCAAGCCTCCCTCTGGTCCAACCTTCATGACCCCAAGGTAACCGTCGCAGATGTACAAGTCTCCTGTTTTCTTCTCGAATTTAAGTCCTAGTGGTCTTCCACAAGTAGGCACTACTTCATGCCTTGAACAGTTCCCTCTACATACAACAATGATAATATATTATAGTTTTTATTTAAACAAAAATTATTGGTATCATTTCAAATAAACTACATTATATACTTTTTGACATATTCTATTAGATTAAAAAAATGGAAAAGCTTCAAGAAGTCGCAAAGAATAAAATAAACCAGCCTTGGAGTTTGGATCTAGTTTTAAATATTTTCTAAGATAAACTATTCCATATCTAAATATTTCATTCAATTAAACAAAAGAAGTCTATTGATAAGTTTTTTTATATTTTTTTGGCCAACAACTAGGTTACACTGATACGCAGACAAAAAGAAAGAGACTTCATTTTTTGACCCAAAAAAAAAGAAAGAGACGAGATACTAAACTACAAAAGATTGGGTCTGATCCAAACGAGATATTTGGACAGTAAGACTGATCATACCCTAAATTGATTTATAACACATACATTCCGATTCGCCGCAAAAATTAGACAACAGATCCAAAGTCACCCTAGCTAGTCCATTAGAGAAAACAAATAATAATAATAATAATTTGTTTTCCTCAACTTATTGGTTATTTACTTATTCATATTCATGTGTCGGTGTGTTCTAATAAACGTTGTAATTAATAATAAACAACATATAGAATACCTGTGAGGAGATGTGTAAGCGAACTCAACCCAGCCTATACCATCGCCTTGCCACTTGAGAATACGGCCGTCCACGACGGCAGCATAAGGACCTCCTCCTTGTGGATCCCACTCGATGCTCTCTGGTCCATGAACAGGAAGTGGTATGGTCTTAGCCATCGACAATACATGTTTCGTGCCTTTTAAATTGTCCGGCGCAATTATGGTCTGATATGAAATCACGGAAAATACGGCCAACACAGCCGGAACGGCGGCCCAAGTCGGAACTTTCTGACTAAGCGGCATTCTTTTCAACCTTACGAAAATTAATATTTTGGCTGAAGAGACGTGTGTAACACTAGCTGTTTGTATACACCTAGTGACATATAGTTATATAACATCTGAAAGTAAATAAAAAAGGACAAAGGAGTCTAGATATTTCTATTGTTGTGTGGATGAAGAGATCAACACGTAGTGTCATTTCTCTTTAAGTGCCAACTGTCTAATATGATTACTGCCATGTGGGTAATCAAACGTAAGCGACGATGTTAATTTGAGGATTGAAACTTCCATTTTTTGGACGAATGAAAAAAGAAAGGAAAGATCTAGATGCATGTTACTGTACTTACATACGTTTGCAGTTTTTCGCGCAACATTTCATTTGTTGTCACCTTTTGTTTATCTAAATTATCACTTACATTACAAATTGATCGAATGTAATTAACGTTACTTTTTCCCATTAAAATAAAACATAACAAACTAAAAATAAAAGAAAGTCTCGATATGTACAAATAATTAACATCACTCTTGTGTTTTCTAATATTTTCTATTCCATCTATTGTGTTTTTCTGTTTAGTTATTATAGTTTTTCATGTACCTCATAAATAAAAACTTGGTTTAAAACTTCAAGTGTAAATAAAAAACAGAAGGTCATTTACTTGATTAATAGAGCATCTTCATTGGTATTTTTTACTCAAATTTTGGCTCAGAAATTTAAGTATTTTTCATTTTTTTATAAATCGTTCTTTATATAAGAGATGAATAGACTATTTCTTACGTTAGATGGAGAATTGTGATTGATAAATTTTTTTTTTTATATTTTCATATATTTTATTTCTTTTTTAAAAAATACTAAATTATTTTTAAGAGACTCTTGAATAATAATGGAGATGTTCTAAACGTATATATATTTAAAGTAATTGGATTAATTGCCGACCTAATTTGAATTTAAAGTCGAACCCCACATAAAAGTGTTATATGCATTTTCACGTGACTTCATTTTTGGCCACACAAGTCACAGAGGTGTCCAATTCTAAATTATCCACGAGGGCCACGAGTACGAGTATTTTCCTTCTGACGTCAGACAGAAGTACTATGAGGGGCCTACTGCTAGAAAAATGTGTCTTGTTGGTAAGTTGAATCATTGATGCTATCTTGTTATAATATTTATAGTTAACAACGAAGCCAAATTTAATTTACCTATTTACAACCTACGGTAACAATGAAATATTCCACTTCTACGGTGGAGAGTTTTTCTCACGATATTCATAAAAGCGATTCGGACATCTGATTTATTCGGTGGTTTGGTTTGTCCGGTTCTCGGTTTACTCGAATTGGAAAAAATATTCTCGGTTTATTCGGGGTTTGTTTCGGTTGGAAATCGGTTTCAGGTATAATAGTTGTCGCCGAAGATAAACAGAACATACATGTATATAATATTGGTTTAGACACATAATAAACCAACTTTATTATAATATGGGCCAGACCAAAGTGTTTATACAAGCCCAAACCAAATGAATTTATAAGTTCAAACCATAACAAAATTTACAAGCCCAAACCAAAATAGAAAAAATATAAACAAGCTCAAAGCAAAAACCCTCGAGGGTTTCGATATTACACGGCGACGGTGGGCTCCGACATGTACGTATATCGATGAAAACAGCGGTGAGTCGATGAAAACTATTAGACAATGGTGGTTCGATGGAAACTAACTACTTGTACAAGGCGGAAAAACCAAAAAACAGAGACGAAATACATATAAGATTTAATACATAAATCTGTGAATCGAGAACAATTAGAAGGAATTTCAAATGATGGTGACAAAGACAACAACTAGGCGGAAATATGAGAGGTGAGTCGAGTGAGGAGGGACAATGGAAGAAGGATTCAGAATATTGCTTAGAAAAATAGGGTTTAGTATTCGGTTGTCATTTCACGTAAAAAAAAATACAAGATAATAAAATAAATGGTAATGGCATATATGATCGTAACGACATGTTAACCCGAATTCTCAAATAATGTTATAATAAAAATAAAGTATTGGATTAATTATTTAACCAAAAAAAAAAAAAAAAAAAGTATTGGATTAATTTTTATACTCTTCTTATTAGTTATTCTAATAAAATGAGTGGAAAACAAAACTAGCTCTTTCGATTTGTATAAATGTATTCATTTATTTATTTGTTATTTTAACTTTAATTTTGTCCTACTTTAAAACATCTCTTAATTATGATGTCACTGCCCACTGTATGTAAAGTAAACTTATTAATAGTATGACCCATATTGCAAAAGAGGATATGTAAGTATTATTTAAAGAAATTTAAGAAATAATTAGTTAATCAAAAATGAAAACAATTTCTTATAAAATAGAGGGATATCCCCTCTCATATCAAATCACATAGAACCCACTGAAAGTATAAAGTAAGGTATCTTGATCTACACGTAGGATTAATCAGAATAATGTAATTTCAAATTTATTATAATATTTTGATAAAAAAAATCATATGCAAAGTAATATCCATTTGAGAAAGCGATGATGGGGCTCCCTCGTTCACATGATCACATCTCTCGGACATCTTTTAGCGACAAGAATCAAATTAAACTAAGAAAACAATCTTTGTCCACTACAAATTATGCCCTTTTTCGTTGTAATAATATTGTTTTGTTCTTTTGATTAGGTATTTTATTAGGAGCAGTATGTAGAGAGAGAGAGAGATTTCTTTTGATAATTTGTATTGTTAGACAGCTTTATTCTTAATCCAGTAATATATAAATAATTTTAAAATAATTTTTTAACAGCAATTTTTTTTAACACAAAATAGGTTTAGCCAATGTCAGCCGGGTATGGTCTGGTCTGGCTTGTCACAGGTTCTAAGTATATTATTAGTGATTCTAGGGCGCTAGCTAGCAAAAAGGAAAAATGTAATGTAGAACTAGATGTTATTCTTAATTCACATATCTTAAAATCTTAATATGAAAAATTTGAACAAATCAAATCAATATATACCTCGTGAGATACGTCTGATCACGAGTAAAATATACGAACTATCGTGACTCGTGAGAACTAGCCAATGTTATTAAGACAACAGAAATTCTTGGGAATCAATCTTGTCCCCCTTGTCGTCAGAGGTTAGAATACTTTGGTCCGACTCTCCAAATCTAGTCATGCCGTGCCGGACACAACACCTTTCTCGTTTTAACACGTACATTTATTAATCCCACAAAACGACATTAAACTACTCAGTTGAACCAAAATTTCGGAGCATCCTCAAATTCCACGCACACAATAACAACAAGAAGATGCATTTCTTATAACAAACATAAATTATGATATTATTTTCTTTTTTGGCGTTTTGGTTACTCATTTGCGATCGTAAACCGATGTATCAAGCACCCAAACGGCCGGGAAATACACAGACCCAATCCATAACTTTCCATCTTCTCTCTCATAAGCTTCACTAACATACATCATCGTCTTCCCTTCACTGTCCTCAAGTATCTCGAGAATCTCTCCGGTCTCTCCAGAGAGTTTCACGATAATTCCATGAGGTTTCCCTCCATTGATGAGATAAATCGCAGTCTCGGCCTTCAACGTTTTCATGAAAAACTTTCCGACCAAAGAGTGACTCAGAAACACACGAGTGAACAAACTGTGTTTGGACTGCAATGCCACCCAAAAATCTCCCGTAGGCGTGCGCCTGATATTGTCCATGGGACCTGGAATCTTTGCGAAAATCTCGTTGGTCCCGGCTTTAGGACCTTTGACCCATATTCTATGGATAATATCTGTACCACTTTCACAGGTGAGTACAAAAGATCCGTCTTTGCTTAGAGCTAAACCATTTGGTAAATGGAGTTTGTCCATTATAACTTTGGCCTCTTTCTTCTTCATATCGTATCTTATCACTCTTCCCTTCTTATCCCCGGACATATACACGTAGAATACTTGCCTGACCAACATAACACATTTACAAGTTCGTTACAAAAATATAAACACGTAAATGTAAACTAAGGAAAGTGTGATTTTTAGTTACTCGAAGTGGTATTTGTCGCTGCTATCGTTGAAATAGAAGACTTCTTCCTCTTCGTCTATATCCATTTGGTTTGCAAACATAACTTTTTGACCTTCGGCTTCATCAACGACTAACTCGGCCAAACCTCCCTCTGGTCCGACCTTCATGACCCCAAAGTAACCATCACATATGTACAAATCTCCTGTTTTCTTATGGAAGCTAAGTCCCAATGGTCTCCCACAACTTGGAACTACTTTATCCCTCGAACAGTTATCTCTTCACTCACCAAAACAAAACAAAAAGAGAAGTATCAAACTAACCGAGAAGCTCAATGAAAATCCATTAGAAGACTATACATGGAACAACGAAAACCGAGGAAGTGTTAATAGGGTTAGGGTTTAGGAGACTTTTGGTTTAGGACTGAAACCTGTGAGGAGACATGTAGGCGAAATCAACCCAACCAAGTTCTTCGCCGCGCCATTTGAGGATGCGACCGTCGGTGACACCTACGTAAGGGCCTTCGCCTTGTGAATCGAATTCTAAGCTCTCTGGTCCAACGCCAGGGATAGGAATGGTCTTAGCCACTTGTAGGACGTGTTTCGTGCCCTTTAGGCGATCCGGCGCGATGATTGATGACCAAAAGTAGAAGCAAACGACGGCTATTATAACCGGAGCGGCGGCGACCGGCGTTAGAACTCTCCGTGTAATCGGCATCTCTCTGTCTCTCAGGAGAAAAAGTGTGTGAGTGATGATGCTGAACTTATTTACTCTATAAATAGACAGACATATACTTCTCTTTCAGGGATTTCGGACACAACACACGTTGCACAGGTAACTATCATTGTTTATCTCTCTTGTCTCGGTGCTCCAAGTGTCTATATTAATTGACGATATTAAAAAAAATTACCTTATTTAAAGACTTTTTCTGTTTTATTAATATTAATTATAGAGTACTTAAAGTCCAATATATATAGGAAACACTACCGACATTGATTTTAAATACAAAAAGGACGTCCAGAAAAAGTTACCGTGCACAGAGAAGTTGTGACAATATGATGTCGAAAACTACAAATCATAAACACCGAGAAAAGGCATGAGAACAGAACCAATCCAAAGCTTGCCATCTTTCTCCTCCACTTCACTTATAAACCTCAATCTCTTTCCTTCTTTATCCTCAAGCACCTCCAAAACCTCTCCTGATTCACTCAGCTTCAAAGCTGTTGCATGAGGTCTTCCTCCTGTGAACAGCGAGTGCAGCCGTGGGGGACTGATTGGAAGTCTCAGCACCAAATCTCTGAACCAAGTTTGACTGAGTGAGAGTTTCGCGAAAAGACCTTTCTTTGAGTGTATTGCGACCCAGAATTCTCCATTTGAGTTTCTTCTGACGTTGTCAGGGAAGCCTGGTAGCTGAGCAAACACGTCTTGAGTTCCTGCTTTTGGACCAGAGAGCCAAAGCCTTAGGATCTTGCAAGTGGTTGTTTCGGCTACCAATACAAAAGACCGGTCTTTGCTTAGTGCGACGCCGTTGGCAAATGCAATGCCTTGTAATAAGACCGTCACTTTCTTGCTTGCTCTGTCATACTTGATTAACCTTCCAGTCTTATCAAAGTTCAAAACAGCAGCCAAGAATTGCCTGAACATGAAAACGCTTTGGAGTTAAATCATCATCATCAAGAGAAAAGGATAACTCATGCATCAGAGTAAGAAAGCTCATAGCTTTGTAAACCTGGAAAAACGTTTTCGCTTCTGTGTTGAAACAAGAAAATGCGCATGACAAGAAAGATGAGATTTTTGGTATTTCTATTCATGTTACCTTCTCTGGAATCTGGTGCTGGTATCTGTGAAGTAAATCACATCTTCATGCTCATCACTATCTAAATCATTAGTGAAACGAAAAGTTTGCCCCTCAGCTTCTGTAACCAGGGGTTTGGCTAAACCACCAGCAGGACCAACAATAAGAAGACCAAAGTAGGCATCCGCAATGTAGAGATCTCCGGTTTTCTTATCAAACCGCAATCCTAATGGTCTTCCACACACATGCTCTAGCTCTGGTGCAAATGGACGAACACACATCTGCCTAAAACAACATCCCACAAGTGTTAAGAGATGCGTAATAACTAATATAACCTAAAAAAGAAGAACGAAGCACTGAATAGCATAAATTACTAAACTGGCTGAGATTCTCAAAAATCCGATTTTTGAGATGTTAGATTCAAGATACTGTCACAGTAACCTCTAAGTCTACCACAAGACATGATAAAAAGCACATTTCTCGCTTAGAGCTTCAACAAAGTTGATAAAAGAAATATTCTTGTCTCACCAAATCCTGAAGCTATCTTAAATAATGATCATATCTAACGAAATTCTCCACAATTCAATATACCTATTAGCCGATGTGTAAGCGAAATCTGTCCATCCAAGCGATTCCCCGCGCCATTTCAGGATCCGACCGTCCGAGACACCAACGTACGGACCATGTCCTGCTGGATCGAAAGCTACACTCTCCGGACCGGAAGCTCCGGTGAGGTTAACCACCTTCGCCGACGGGAAAACATCACGCGAGCCGGCGATTTCAGGCGGTGCGAAGATGCCGAAACCATTTTGGCTACTCGAGGCAAAGATTGCGATAATTGCTACAATCGCTGTTGGGAATAGTATATTGAGCATCGTGGTCATGGTGGTCAGTGAGATTTGGATATGTATTGCACTCGGATTCTCTGTTTCACTACAATCACTGTTTTGAGCTTCTCTGCTTTTATTTTGTCGGATTTTAGACAAATTCATGAACCTACCTCGTAATTATTGTTTAATTCGGATATAGCCTCTATTTAGTTGTTTGATCAATTATCTCCAGCAAAATTGAGGTGATAGATAACGAAACTACTTGTCAATGGACAGCCCACTAATCGGCCCAATTTATAACAGATAATGTAATAACCAGCCCGTCATTCAAATAGAATTCTCCACGATTCAAGGATACATAAACTCAAAAGGAGAAAAAAAAAGCAGTAGTGCCAAAATACAAATTGGTTTTAATATGAGTCGACAATCAAATTTTTGGTTTACTAACAAGCTGTGCCGTTTTTTTATTTTTTTTTATAATATGAAAAGAGAAGTCTTTTAAACAAAAAGAAATGTCTCGAGAATTATGTTATTTATAAATTTGTAACAAATATCAAGTTCAAAAACTGTTGCATGTGAAATATTGGCTTATGTTTGCGTGATACGTACATCATGGAAACTGGATAATTCAGCAAGCTAATTTTATATTGCTAGCCTGCCATCAAGAGATTTCGCACCAATGTCAAGGTATTAAGAAATTGACAAATTCACTTTTTTTTAAAGTACTTCACTGGAAACATTATTAAATGGTACATTTAAAGAAATAATAATATATAGTTTGACAAAAAAATACAAGAATAATATTTAACTGGTGATATTTTTTTAGTTTAATAGTAAAAGATCAGAGAAAAAAAAAAGTATTGTACCTAATACAAGAAATTCAATGTATACATATTTGTTTAATAAATTAGAATCTTAGCAAAAACGATTAAATTCGATAGTATTTACGTAAAAAAATTGGTGAACATAATCAAATGTAAATATATTGTTTTTTCTAATAAGAAGTGGTAGAATTTTTTTTTTTTGTAATGACTTTTTAGAATATCATAAATGATGTTTCTAATAAAGAATGGGAGAAATATATGTCACTAATTAGTACCTTTTTATTATTAAACGAACTTAATTATAAGACCACAATCTTATATGATATACGTAACATAAAAGAGTAACACGCGCGATAAATAAAATAATAAAAGATTTGCTGGTAAAGAGGAACAAAATAAGCAAAAGGGTTTTGGTGTGTCAATAATGTGACTCTGTGTTCCATCGGAGGGACACTTCCTAAATCTGGAATGTGTCCGAGTAGCTATTGTAAGGGCATTTTAAGCTTTGAGTTTACATTATTATTTTATATTGAATAATAAATTTCTAAATTATTGGCACACTTTCGGATGCAGAAAATGAAAGAACTATCGTTACATTTTCAAACCAACGAAGTAATTAATTGATGAGTATTGTGTGCACGATTTTGTATTCAGCCCGTATATGTATTATATATACTTCAACATACAATATATATTCCATTTTTTTTTTTTTTTGCAAAAATATTTTCCCAATAGGTAAGAACGTTATTTTCTTTGTGAAACGTCAAACGTGTCCTGGTTAAATATGTAATATCGTAAAACCAGGTGAGTTTATGCGTATAAATTATTAGTAACACAACACACACATGACACGCACACATATATACATATATATATAAAAAATTATCAGTATGTTTAATATAATTTATAGTAATATTGTATAATATAGAATTAAATCTATTTATGTTCCATCTAAATCGTTCATCTTTTTATGGCGAAAAAATTATCGAGAGTATATGTAGTTTAAACAAACAAAAAAATAGCAAAAAAATAGATATGCACTAAAGTATAGTCTTAACAGTTGTAGGCAGGTTTAGGCATCTGACTCGAGTTTGGCTGCTAGAGCCATCCCGATTAGATGATGCTTAAACAAAAAAAATAACATTGTTTGGGCAGTTTCTAAATGCTACCTAAGATGCTGAAATTGCCACAGCATCTTAGGTAGCATTTAGAAACTGCCCAAACAACGTTATTTTTTGTTTTGTAGGCTACAAAACCGATTTTTAAAATAAATCAAAGGTGTACATAATTTTTCAAATAATTGAATAAATAAGATCGTAACATATATATAGATATATATATCTCTCTATATATATATAATGTGGCTCAACACGGGTCATGAAAATATGTTATATGGTTGTTGATATAAATTGATATCAATGTCATTTACGTCAAAGAAGACTATACTGAACTCAATTATTAATATTCTCAAAACCTGTGAACTTATATCGTATCTTTTAAAATAATGGCTTAGGTTTGGTTCACCGTATTAAGACCATAAGCTCATTTAGCTTATGTATGGTTTTATCATCAATAGTACCTAATGTAATCGTGTAGTTTGATATATATAACACGCCGACGACTATATAATGCAAGTGTATATACATAGAAACAGATTATTATTTTTATCAATTACTAGACCGATTGGGTACAACCACTCAATGCACGCCGCGGTTTAATTCATATAATTAAATGGTAGGTTGGTTTTTATATAAAAAAAGGTTCATCAATTAATCAAACATATCCTCCAAACAATGTTTCATGCATGTAACTGAGGACAAAAAAACTATAACGTTTCGTCGCATAACTATTCGTTAAGCTTAACCTACTATTACAGTTTGTTTAGCAAAGAAAAATCTAATATTACAGTTGAACAAAAAAATCTTCATTTTATAGATGTTACAATACCAAATGTGACTTACAAAAAAAACTTTTAAATGATAGCTAGTAACGATAAATGAGTCAACAGAATTGAGAAAATTACAGTTTAGAAATATATAAATGAGTCAACAGAAATATAAAACAATCGTCATTTGAACTTATGAGTAAGCATAGACTTATTGATCACTCCTCTATCATTATCAATTTAAAATCAACTTTGAGAATATCTAGGGTTGGTACCAAAAAAAAAGACGAAGAAGCAAAATTAGGGTTTGCGATTATTACCGTTTTGGACTATAGAAAACGGCTAAAAGTTGCATGTAATCAGCTCCTTCTCCATCATACATATGGATTAAATGTATAGGTCTAGTCGGCAACTTTAATAAACAAAAGTGAATTAGAGCAGGTCTATTAGTGAATCCCTTTATAGGGTTCATTAGAATTTTATATTAATTTTTTTTGCAATTCTGACAGTAATGAACTTGTTTTTATTTTGATCATCCATTAGTGAACTCCATAAGAGTTCTTTAAAATAAAATATAATTGTTTAAAATATTTTTTTTTTCAATCATACACAAGAGCTTTTCAATCATACACAAGAGCTTTTTAGAATTTCATGGATGATGGATTAAGAAGATCACTCGATTTAATTGAAGAACGGTGGTGGCGACGGAGAAGATATGGCGTTGTTAAACTCCACCGTGGCTCGGTCGATGGATCCTTCGTTGTGGAAGGAGCAACGAAAAATTGAGAAGAGAGAGAAAGAGAAATGATTTTTTTCCCCCAAAATTACGCTGCTTTCCCGTCCAATCCGCTTCCGCCACGTGGTTCGGATCCAGGTTCTTAACGAGAATGATCGGTTCATCAGAGTTGGGCTTTTTTTTTTTTTTTAAATCCAATATACTTATGAACCTGTGTCCAAAAAACCTGATGACCTCCTAATAGACCTGGTCTTAGTTAGGCAGAAAAGGTGAAGTTAAATCTATTGCTATACGACTGTTTTTTTTTTTTTGGTAGCTAGTGTGATAATTAAAGAAATTCAGTCCACCTGTATGAGAGTCATTTTATTCGAACTTATCTGTAAAATTTAAACCCAACAAAAAATTCATTGAAATGAGAAGAAAATTATTATAAGAAAAAATAAAAAGACAAGTAAAATAAAAGACATAATAAAAAAGAAGAAGATGGAAAACTAGCCAACTAAAAAGAGTGATATGTACATCTTTTCATGTATAATATTTTTAAAGTCTAAATAGTTAATGCTTTAATTAATTTCTACCAAATTAAAATAAAATTAGAGCGAAACCCCAAAAATAAGAAATCTAATATAATATCGTAAAAATAAAGGATGATTAACTTTCACATTGACATGATTTAACTATCATAACATATACTCCTATTGTGATATGTAAGTCTTACTTAACCTAGTTAGTCGAGTTAAAAAGTAAACAAAAAGTTCTAAACATGCAGTTGCCAAAAAAAACTGACATTTTGTTTTGGGTTAAAATATCTTATATTATTTTTCTCTTTTAACTTTTCTCGACGAAGTTGCCAAAATCTGTGAATTCAATGTTAACCATAATACACGAATTCTGAAAAAAATCGGCAATCGGCGAAACTTATTTGCCTGGTTGAACTATATCATGCACTAAACATCAGTCTGTAGAAAATAAATACATAAAAATCCTAATGAAAACAATGTCCAATATATCGAATAAATATATTGAAATCGATCCCAATTACGGAAACGATTCATATATGTGATGCCATCTGTCAACAAAAAGTTCATCAACGTTGAACAAATAAACCTTTTTTTTTTAATAAATTCCGAATTTAAGAAATATAAATACAGTAGTTTTTTTGATATTTACTATTGAATGGGGTAAGGTAGAGAACAAAAGAAGCGAGCATTAAGGAGAAAAGCCTGAAGACAGGGGAAAGAGAGAGGGGGCCATATTGTGCAAGTTTTATAAGGCAAATAATGCCCCTTCACATCACTTCTATTTCACTATTTATCTATTGCTGTCTGCTATTGCACTTTTTATAGTCGAGTTATATATTTATTTATATTTGTGTGTGTGTTAATGTGGTCTGCTTCTCTTATGATTTTGCAATATCATATACATTAGTTTTAATTATACTCTTCATCCATAACAGCATCTTTCGTTACGCATTGTAAGAAACAAAAGTTAATTCTAACCATGGCGTGTTGATTTATTTGTTTTTAAAATATATAGCATCGTACTCAATCTTATAAGATAAATCTGTTCTAAGCTATTTACAATAATAATTAATGTAGGATGGAAATATTCAGAATCGAAATCGAAATTGGAAGTTGTTTTCATAGCTCTTCAATAAATTAAAGAATCGGTATGAATGTTGGACGTTTGTATATACGCTTCCAACACAAATCCACTTACTAAATTACTATTTTAAATTACTATTTTTAATGTTCATACATGACTTCTTTAAACTTGTTTTTATTAATCTGTAAAATTAATAATAAATCGTATTTTACCCAAATTTCTTGATATAGAAACATTAATAAATACATTAATTAATAGGCTAACGAAGCTTCCACACTTATTAATTCTTTTTAACCCGCACTTCCATTATTACTAAACTTATCTATGTATATTATGTTTATATATCACTAAATACTTTTTTGATATTTATAGATGTATTAATGGAACATAGTTGATATATAAGCCTGAGTGATTTTAGTTATATATAACCGGATATTTAATATTGAAAGATTGGATAATCAGTGAGCAAACAACCCCCAAATGAATTGAATTCTATAGTTACAAAAAGGACATAGTGTATAATTATATGAAAATTGATCACATACACATATCTTAACGAGGAATACAATCCACTCAACTACCTCACTTCGACCCGAAAACTTCTCGGATTACGTTCATTGCATTGCATGTGGTCCATTTCACATGTCACTATGACACGCATCCACTAAATATGACATTCTCAATTCACGTCTCTGTACATAAAAACCATTTATATTGATTTTTTTGTTTGTTTTGTTTGTTTACTATTGTATTTCTCTATAATAAAAGTGTAAACATTTGAAATAGTAAAACCCAAGCAACGTTTTCGAGAATGACAGAACCATCAATGTAACGTGGTCTAGAGATAGAAAATGTGAATAATTTTGGATATTCTTTGGGGTCTTTGGGTCAGTAAATGCTAGTACATTCTCTTTTTTTTTTTTTTTAACTGAATGAAAATTGCATGTGTTAGTGTCAAAATCTGTGATGATGAAGTGTTTGTGTTAGAGAGAAGAAGAAGAAGAAGAGGAGGGGTCCTCATACAAGAGAAATGGATGGTTGTGATGAAGAGAGATGGGAGAGAATAGCTGTATAGTAATGAAGATCCATTAAACTGTTTGTGGATTAAAAGCATGTCTTCCCGACATTGTGGATTACAGTTAAATAGACAACTCGAGTGATCGAGCCATATCTTTTTGGTCAATTTCTCCATCCTTTTGATTCCCTTTTTCTCAATTCTTCACTTATACACCTTCTTTGAATCACTCGAGTGCCTTACTCTTTCATGTCTTGTATTTGGTCCATTTGTATTACTCACATCATGTTGAACAACTGAATTTACGATTGCTGTGGTCATGTGGACTGGTAGTTTTTTTTGGATTAAATGGGGAAAACAAATCTATTTGGCTAAATAAAACATATTATCAATGAAATTCAGAAGTGAGCTTGCATGAAACTCATAGTTTGACTTTGGTTGAATGATAAGTCTATAATTATAAACTGACGTTTATAAAAAAATGTACGAAAAACTAGAATGTTTCACAACCATTCGTTTTGTAATACATAATCGGAAACTTTTTTTCTTACTGAAATTTGCTTATTCATCATTAAGTTTTAAATTTTCTTTAAAAAAAAAGGTATGCATTATTCCATTGTAATAATTCTGTATAGTTTCTCTCGTATTTTTTTTAAAAAAATCGAAACAGTCACTCGAAAAACCATTACGTATTATCCGATCGAAACATTCAATAAAGAGATGAAAGAAATGTCGAAAGAGCTTTAACAAAAAAAGGAAATGTTGAAACAGAGAGTGTCAAACTGGAACCCACTTGATAAAAGAGAGGGTACGTTTAATTGGAGTGACTTTGACGTGTGGCTCCCAAAATTCGACACGTGGCTGATATGGTATGTTGGTAGTGGCAATGATGATGATGAAAATCGGGGCATGAGCATGACCATGACCATGACCATGGCAAACAAATCTCTGGAAGAGAATCCACAAAAATATTGCCATGTCGTTGGCACCAACACCATCACAACTGCTCTTTATGCGGTAAACGCCACCATTATTTCACGTTGTGCCTAATATTTTTTTCCTTCTTTCTTATATATCTATCTTTTTTTTTTTTTCTTTCTATTTTTTGGTTTTTATGTATTGACTTTAAATGGAGCAAATACACAAGTAATAGTTAAATGATAATAAACAAAAAAAGGGGTCGAAAAAAAAACCAAAAAAGGGTCATCTTTGCCGACGTCACCTATATCTCTGAAGATTTTGGCGGGTCCCTTTTCTGTATTTATTTCTTCTGATGAATTTTAGTATAGGATGACTTGAAGGTTGGGGGAAAATTATTTGTCCGAAGAAAACTAGGAGAAAAATATTCGCGGAAAATGCTTTTTAACTTTGCATGAATTATCGACGCAAGATAGATATGGTGAGAAAAATGATTCTTATGGATAGATATTTAAAGATTGCCCAAACATAGTCACTATATATACAAATACAACCAGATAGAAGTGCATGTTAAAAAAAAACAAGATAGAAAGTAGTGAATTGATCAACAAAATACTCCAAAAATTTATACAGTAAATTGGATTTAATATTCACTTTTTTCCATTCTTTTTATTAATCAGTGGGATACGTATTGTAAACCAAATAATACATGTTATCATGTAATTGTAAAACAACAATAGTATTAACATTACTAGGCTATATTGACATGGTCTATTTTGTACACCTTCGTCGTGAATCACATAAATTTCATGTATACGAAGGTATAGTACGTTGCAAATATAATGAATGATAATCTAATTTTTTTTTTGTTCAAAAATGATAATCTAATCTATAAAAGAAAAATATTTTGTAAAATTTACCAACTTTTTCAAGAAAATTTCCCTATACATAATCTAGTCACTTATGCTAGTCTTTAAATTATCCAAACAGTCTTCCTATTTTTATAACCGTGGATATTTCATTTCAAAACGTGAATAAAAATTTATGAAAACTCGAGTTTTTTTTGTCACTTAAAACGTTCACAGGTCCCATCCATAATTTAAATTACAATAAAGAAACTCGAATGTTGGAACTAAACTGAGCAAATTCTCAACCAATAGAGTACTTAATTATTTTTTATATATAGACATAATTTGTTTTGGTGCCCATTTAAAAACAAAAACAAATTACCACTGAAATCCAAAATCCTTGAAATTATTGAATTTATTGTTTTTGTTTCACGAATCTTTTATCAGTGTACACATCTTCTAAATTTGGTGTAATAGCAAAGCGGTTGTGGGAGGAGTAGTATATAAAGCAAAGCCCTCCATTTATCTAATCCTTAAAAATCCTCATAAAGATTTGATTTGATTATTTTATTTATTTCTAACCTTTGTTTTTTTCTTCCTCTGCGTTGTCTTCTGAAAATAATCCCAATATTTTTCTATCAGAGAACTTGCTTTCTCCACAATTCAAAGCTATTTAGTTTCTTGTTCCATTTTTCCCTCTCTCTCTCGTAACATTTGGTGGAAGAAGAAAAATCATATCATAAGATCTTGTTTTAAGGGCAAACCCATTTTTATTTCTCTTCCTCGCATCGTGAACTGAGATCAAAATAGCAGTAATCGCGGCGAAAGAAGAGAAAAAAGAAAATTGAATATTTATAGTGAAGCAAAAGAAAAAGTCGGAGACTTTATATCTTGGTTCGTCGATTTGAGATTAGATCTTGAGAAGAGATTCTTTTATATCTTCAAATTTCTGCAATGGGTATGGCAGCGGAATCGCAGTTCCATGTATTAGCTGTTGATGATAGTTTATTCGATCGGAAACTCATAGAGAGATTGCTTCAGAAGTCTTCGTGTCAAGGTAAAAACGAGTGTCAAAGAAAACGAATACGTCTTGTAACTTGTAAGAATCGAAGAAAGATCTAAGCTTTATGTTTTCGGTATTTGCAGTAACAACTGTTGATTCAGGCTCTAAGGCTTTGGAATTTCTGGGTTTAAGAGAAGGTAGTGAGAGCAACGAACCAAATGCGCTTTCTACATCTCCTGAAATTCACCAGGTTCGAAAATTCTTCTTTTTTAAAAAAAATCTCTCGAATGTTAAGTTTATCTTCAAGTTTCCACTAATTTTGATTCGAACTTAGTTTTACAAGTCTTCGTCTAGTGGATATTTGCTTATTCTGTTTGATCGTGGCTTTTGACAGGAAGTTGAAGTGAATCTTATAATTACTGATTATTGTATGCCAGGCATGACTGGTTATGATTTGCTCAAGAAAGTCAAGGTACATTTTTTCTCCTTCCTCATTTACTCGATTTTATCTCTAGAAATTTGTCTTCGAAGAAAACTGAGAAAGTGTTGTTTTCAATGAAGAAAGTGAGAATGTCAATCGGAGATCTGTTTATTTTTCTCTAGTGATTTGTTTATTTGCTATTTGGTGTGTACAGTTTCTTGATAACGTCTTTTGATTTATCCGGGAATTTAATATAAACTTGTTTTTCAACTTTGTAGGAATCATCAGCTTTTAAGAACATACCAGTAGTAATAATGTCCTCTGAGAACGTTCCTGCAAGAATCAGCAGGTAAGGAACAATGAAAGATTGAATCTTTACAGTTTGAGCTTGAGCTCCTTTAGATAGTGTCTCATCATAATTTTCCCGGGGAAGTATAGGAAGACTCTTATGTTGATACACTTTTAATCATGAACAGATGTTTGGAAGAAGGAGCTGAAGAGTTTTTCTTGAAACCAGTAAGATTGGCTGATATCAACAAGTTGAAACCCCATATGATGAAAACAAAGCTGAAGAACCAGAAGCTGGAAGAGATTGAAGAACCTTTAAAAGACGAAAATGGAACCGTAAAAGCAGCTGCAGTTGAACCAAAGATTGAAGATTCAACAGAGATCGGAATCAAAATCTTGCCTCTTCAATCGGAATTAGAACCGAAACAACTACATCTGCAAGTAGTACAACAAGAGGAGCAGACATTGTGTAACAACAAGAGGAAGTCTATAGAAGAAGGGCTCTCATCAGATAGATCACGTCCTAGATTCGATGGTATCACAACCGCCGTCTGATTCTATCGCCATGATGCTTCTTTTTCCGGTTTCTGATTTTAGAGTTTTGTAGATTATTGTAGGAATGCTTCTGCTGGTACAAAACATGGTTTCAGTAGGGAATGCAGAGAGAGAATATAGATGGATGATAATGAATCAATGATGATGATGTATGGGGATAATGTTTATATGTGATTAATAAATCTTACATGGTGATTAACCCAATTCTTAATTTTGTTTTGACTTCTTTTTTAGTTTTGGTTTTAAAAAACTCAACTGAACTATCTAAAAATGGTAAGAAGGATCTGTAACATGTCACTTATGTGCACACTGTAGTTTTCAAATTCAGTTCACAATGCTACGCTGTCATGTGTAGACAAGTACGTGTCCTAGTGAACAAAAAGGTATTAATCTGGTAAATTCAAGTACAGTTTTGTCATGGTTTGTTCCATGTTATTGTTCTTATTTTGTCATGGTTTGTTCCATGTTCTTGTTCTTACCTAACCTGAAACAGAATTTCAGGACAAGTTGCTCACCGGCTTTAAGATTTGTACTCCACTTTGAAGAAATCTGTACTTTAACATAATAATCATGTTTTTAGTACTTATGCTGCCTTTGAAGTCTATTACAAGTTCTAGTACAGATTAAACCCCAAATAAGCAGCAGAAGAAATCCAACAATAGTGATTTGTTTATTTTTTGATGTGTTAAACACCAAATCATGTTTTATGGTTACATAAATTCTTACTTCAAGAACCTATGAAAGATAAAAAATCTGAGACTCGAAAAACAGTGTTTTCTCAAACGGAAGCTTAGATAGGACCGGTTTTAAAAGCGATATCAAGATCAGAGATCAAATCATCAGCATCTTCAATGCCTGCAGATATACGGACAAGATCTTCCGTCAAGCCTCTGGCCTCGCGTACTTCTGCAGGTATGCTTGCATGTGACATGAAGCATGGCATGCTTATAAGTGACTTAACACTCCCTAACAAAGAGAAAGGAAGTGGATGAATCAGAATACAAAACACCCCCGAATACTATTACAGCTTCTCCATAAGCAAAACAACAGACAACAAAAATATATTTGACTCTCACCAAAGCTGACAGCTATGCTGAAGTATTTGGTGGTTTCTACCAGATGCTTGGATAAAGCAACCGATCCTGTTATAAAGCTAAAAACAGATCCTGCACCCTTTGCCTGCATTTTAGAAACAAAAGGTAATCTTGTGTTGGGAACTTTAATTATCTCTGCTCTTTTCATATATCAGCTAAAGGTTACTAGTACCTGAGAGAAGTGGAGATGGTGACCAGGATGATCTGGTAGACCAGCGTAGTACACTTTCTTCACTCTTGGATGTGAAAACAAGTACATTGCGATTTTCCGTGCGTTTTCCTGAATATTTTTCCTATCTCATGTAAGTAGTCAAACCAACAAAAAAAGGAAAGATATACAAATAACTCCATTGTTTATACGTAATTAGAGAGGGTAAAAGTCAAGACCTGTTGCTTTTCTATACGTAAAGCCATTGTCTTGATTCCTCGTAGGCAAAGCCAACAGTCGAAAGGAGCTAATCCAGAACCTTCTGAGTTTTGGAGGAAATACAACTCCTTTGCCAATCTGAGAATTTTAACAAATGAGTAATGAGAATGTAATACGAAATATCTCAAACATTTCAAAAGCAGAGAAGAGAAGTAGAAGAAACACACTTTTCGCCTTTTACGGCAAGCACACCCGCCATCACATCACTGTGTCCGGCTATAAACTTAGTAGCCGAGTGCATCACGATATCTAGAAAGCCAGACAAGTTAAAAGTATGAGTACTAAGAAGTAGATCTGAGAATTATAACGATACTTTTAACCAATAGTAAGCAAGTATGAGTCTTTTATAACACACCAGCTCCAAGTTCTAATGGCCGAGAGAGCACCGGTGACATAATACTGTTGTCCACCAACACAAGTGCGCCTTGAGCATGAGCCATCTCAGCTATTTTCTACAAACAAAACCAAAGTGCAAAACATAAAATTACTTAAACTTTACAGAAACATAAGTCGATTTCCACCATCTCACAGAGAATTTACTCGTATATCGGAAATTTGTTGTCTGGGGTTGGTTGGAGACTCAAGCCACACAAGTTTTGTCTGGGGACCAATAGCAGCAGCAACCTCGTCTAAATTAGTTGTGTTTACTCGTCTACAATATAACAAATGAAATCATTAATTTATCATGTTTTAAGAATAAGAAATTTTCAAAATTTTGAATCATTGGTAGTAATACTAACTTTACCACAACGCCAGATCTTGGAACTACTTGAGATAGTAATCTGTCTGAGCCACCATATACATCATCTCCAGCAACAATTTCTTCGCCTATTGAGACAAAACAAAAATACTACAATGAACTCAAGTCTTTGGGACCAAGCTACTGCAACGAAATTACAATTCAATAGAGAGGTCATTATCGCAAATTACCATTTTTGAGAAGGTGCGTAACAGCACTAAGAGCAGCCATTCCACTAGTAAAGCAAAATGCTCTATCTGCCTTGTCAAGCTTCGCAAGGAGACTAAAAAAACCCATAAAGAACAGAAGAAAGCTTTTATGAGCAATGTTCTATCGAAAACACATACAAATATAGCTAAAGATGACCTAGGAATCGAGAAGAAGCTAAGAAACAATAACCTTTCCAATGCATCCCGTGTAGGATTTCCACTTCTTGTATAATCATATGGTCCATTTTCTATAGCAGAAGGCTGCAAAATAAGCAAACCAACAAACTTAAAACCAAAGCATAAAGTGACAAAACGTTTTAATTCGATTCCACAAGATTCATTCAGTACCTGCTTAAATGTAGCGGTCTGGTAAAGCGGAGTGCTCATTGCATCAAAGGGATCAAATTTATTATCCAAGTTCACTAGTAATGTAGAGACGCTAGCCTCTTCTTTGATATTTGTAGCTGTAAAAAAAATCGGGAAACACCATCAACAAAAACTGCTTAAACTATGGTCATCACCAATACAAATAATGAAAGAAGGAAGCTTCACGAACCATTCAAACAATCTGGGGTGGTAGTGTTAACTACAGGACGAGTATTGCCATCGACACTTTTCTCCATCACGCAGCTTAGCTTGAAAAGGTCCCGATTTGAGATCTGTTTCTTCTCCCAAGTTGGAAACTTGGAAAAGGAAACACTGGAGGGAGAGTTCTTACTCTGCAAGCCCTTGAGATCCAGACCAAAGTTGGTGGATACCAAAAGCAATAGAAAAATTTGGAGAAGAAAAGGACTGAATTTATATTTGAGATAAAATAAAAATGGCTTTAAAGTTATAAAATAAAAATTAAAATAACAGGCTTACTCGGTCGGGGAGATCAGCGAAGGAAGGTATGAAGGAGGAGTGAAGTGATAGAGAAGATGTCATTTTGGTCGATGAGAGAGAGAGAGAGGAGAGAGAGAGAGAGTAATAGGTTCTCCTCCGACGTCGATTTCTCGTCTGTGATAACTTTATTAGCCGACGAGATAATGGCGGCGACGGAGATAGCTCTGGCACTGTAGTGAAGACAAAAGAAGAGAGAAACTGAAAGGTACCGGTTTGGTCTATTTCTATTTTATTTCGGTTAGTGCAAGTAGTCTTTTTTTCTTCAATTCACTTAATTTCATAATATACACGCATTTAGAAAATAAAAATTAGGGTGAATTTTTGTCCAATCACTCTTGAAATAGCTGTCAGAACACTCACCTAATTTTTGATTTATGCATTACCATGCATTGCTAATTTGCTATTACTCTAAAAATTATGCGATAGTTTTTGGATAAACTGAGAAAGAAAAAAGAAAAAAAAAAAACGTGGAGAAAGTAGGTAAACACCTACTCTAAGCTCCCATAACACTAAGATATTCGTAAATGTCAACAAAAGTACAACAAAAAGAATTTGATTCAGGCCTTCATACACTGCCACTACCACTAGTCTTTTGGTTTAACGAACGAGGACTATTGGTACCACATTGCTCAGAATCTGGTTCTTCCTCGGAGTCAGATGGTTCTTCCTCGGAGTCCAATGGCTCTTCCTCGGAGTCAGAAGCTTTCAAACTATCCCCTGTATCTTCCATTGAGGGATCCACAATTTCACTGTCTGAAACATCTGGGAATGCACAAATTGGTGATTTAGAACAAAGAGAGCATCTGATGGTTAGAAAGGTTATAGTTAACTGGCATTTAATTCTCTAATGTCTGGACAGTGAACTTTGCGTTAGCCAAGACTCGGAAATTACTGACCTTCACCTTCATCATATTCTTCTAAAGGTTCTTCTTTCACTTTGCTGGAGACAACAAGAGATTCCATGTTCTTGGTTTTTTCTATATGAACCTGGGCGTTTCTTGCGGTTTCTTCTTGTTCTTTCTTTTCCATGTGGAACTTGTTGAGCTTCTCCTCAAACTCTTCGATGCACGCTTTCAGTTCTGGTTTCGCAAACTTCTTTCCCTGTTCAGATTCACAACCATATGCCAAAGTCATTAATAGCATGAGAAGAATGAAAGAGAATGGCATTGGTGAAGAAAACCAGAGAAACGAACCTTATTGATTATGCTTCTAAAGTTTTCCGTCACTAAATCCTCCGCTAACGCGTGCTCGTAAGACTTGAATGACTCGATAAGCTTTTTGATTCCCTTTTCTGTGAATGTCAGCAGCGAAAGAGAATACGAAATGTATTCCCACTGTTTTGTATCTGCAAGTTTAGGTATAGACTTCATAGGGATATACTTTCTATTAAACCAATCACAGGTGTAAAAATATCTCATCAATACAAGCATACCTGTGACTCCACTAAACCTGTTGCAAAGCTTCTCAACCAGAGCCTCCATCTGTTTGTCCTGGAGAGTGTTGAGGACACAGATCAGTGATTAGATAAGACCGAATACAAGTCATAGTAACTTCATTATCCAAAAGCTATGTACCTTTTTAATGGAGCCGATCAAGAACTGCATGACATTACAGAATGACTCCCTCTTCAAATTCCGGTTGGATAACTGCCCAAGTATATCAGGAAGTAGATTGTATATGGGATTCGATCCTGGATTTTGTTTGGAAAAAAAGAAATTCAAGTGTTATAATTTGATTCAAAAGACGAAGTGGCTGTATCATGTAAGGTAGATACTGCAACTGACCTTTCTTAGACAGTTCATGAAAAAATAGTTTTGCGAGACTAGAGATCCTCTCCACATCA